AAAATATGCATAAAAATGATGATATGGTCAAAATACTCACTTGCCTAATAATTGTGCACACAGTGTAGTTCACTGGCAACTTGAGCATAGTAAAAAAACAATACTTTCCTGTTCATCTAATCTACGAACATGCAAGCTATTCTAAAGTCATTATAGCATTGTTTGTTTTGTTACAGCTAATAAGAAGCTATATTTAATATGAAGCATACCATGCTTACTGTTAATAGGGTAATTAGGAAGCAAATCAAGAACAGCTTAAAAGGAAAAAAAAGAACAAAGGCAGAGGCTTCTAATCACTGCTAAACCCTTTTTGTTTTTAATTATTAATATACCCATAAAGAATGTCAGTACAGAATTATTCTGTTTGAAAACTTATTATGTCTTCCAGTAAAACAGACACCTTGATGAACAATACTAAAGTTTGGCCAACGCTTACCTGGAAATAAATCTCATTGGATTCAATAAATAGCAACTTTTTAGGAGATATATGTGTAACGTAGTCCTATGCATGCTTACTCAGAATTGTTCTATTATTCAATAAGGTTTATTTACAGGAAGGTTTGCATAGGTTTGCAGCTTTGTGATTTAAACCTTTAAACTCAGAGGGATTGAAAATGATCAAGTCCTATTGTCTTTTGCGCTTATAGCCACATTACTGACTGTAAAAACCTTGAATTAAAACATCAAGTTTATACAAAATCTGTTTATTGTACGTAAGTTCTATTATATATTTTCAGCTAAGAGTATCCCAGAAAAATGTTTTAGAAATGCATAATTGAATGGAAATGTTTGATAGTTTTTAAGGCAAAAATAGCTTCATAAAAACTGGAATGCTAATGTTATATATAATATTGAAATGTGATCAGATTTTGCTGGCATATTTATCTTCATATTTACACTGACATGCCTAATTTGTCTTGGTAGCTGGACTCCTCATGTACAGTGTCTGCATATGGACATAACATTAAGCTAGTGGCAATGCCTGCCTGACTTTGTCAAGGCTTAGAAGGTAAGCAGGGTCAGGCCTGGTTAGTGTTTGAATGGGAGACATCCAGGGGTATAGGCTAGGCTGGAAAGTCAAAAAGCTTCTCAAAAGAAGGTAATAGTAGACTTCTGTACTGTTGTCAAGAAACCAAAATGAATATGTTTCTGAAGTCACTAGGAGCTGAGCTTGGCTCAAAAGGAGACTTTAGTGCAACCTTTTCTAGCATATCTGAAGGACACTAGGCTGGGAAAAACTGCTTTTCTTCTGTGTGAATGAAGCTTGAATCCAGGTAGTTCTTTCTCCTGTCTCTTCTTATAATTAAGCCATGAGGAAGAGAATAAAAGAATGGTTTCTCTTTGAACTAAATGTAGTTTGCCGTATAATTCTAACTATGACAAATGGTGGTTTAACTAAGTTTAGTTTAAGGAAATCATTTCAGTTGCTTGCTTGAATTAGTAAGTTCATGGGAGTAGCTTGTTTGACTAAGCCTCTGTAAAACTACCTATAGCTTGGTTAGTTAAAAATGGAAGTGAATGGTTCCAATCTCTGCATCTACACTGGAGGAGAGTGAGTCAGTTCATGCATATACTTTGCACGTGCTTGAAAATTAGAATTGGAAGACAGTTCTCAGGCAGCAGTCGTGCTTGTAATTCAGGATTGCAAGCATTCATTTTATTTTAAAAGATGGTCTAAAACTTCTTGTGAAATAAAATGCATGTAAGTATTACAAGCAACCTTCCTGCTTCAGAGGTCTTATCTTTTAATTCATGGTACCTTTATCTTCATCCTCTTTTCTCTCTCAAATAGTAAAGTATCTTGCAAAATGCCTGCCTTGTGTCAAAACTGCTGAAAATATATACTTATAGTTTAACATGACATCCAGCTCCGTAGATGTAAATAAACGAAGACTGACTTTTGTCTTCTTGCTGGATGTTGTTTAAAATTCTTCTCTTGTCACTGTTTGCTATACTTGGCATCTTGGCAATGTTTCAGTTGCTCAAAGTGAGGATGTTAGTCATGCATCACTTTGTATTATACAGTTTGGCCTCTGGTTTATTCTCAGAACAGTCTCATGATTGTGACAAACAGTGCTATTTTTTGTATAATAGTACTGTTTTTTGGTACTTTTCTAACCTTTATGTTGTCAAAAAGTGTCAAGAGCTAGAATGATGAGTGGATTCTTAAATAATGCTTGTCTGTTTTATTGATTAAATACTAAGTTATTTTCTGTGGAATTGTTGAATTTGCATCTTTACTTCTTAAAATGTTCCCCAAATGCTGGTTGATGTAGGCTTTTGCAAATTGCCTTCTAAAATGACAGCTTCCCACACTATTGCTGGTTGCATGATTTAAAAATAAATGAGAAGTGTAGAAAGCAGTGACCACAAAAAGTGTAACTTTTTAAAGTATTTTGCTCTTTGGGGACTGTGCCACTTGTCCATGATGATCTCTAAGGATGATCTCCAGCCTATCAGGTTTAGGCTGATAGGGAAGTCAGCTCAGTGTTCCTGGTAACTTAAGAATGTTTAAGCTCAGAAGTCAATCTCAGTCATAATATTGAAGAAATGAAACAAGAATCATATGTCAGCTTGTAGGATTGCTTATACCAGAGATAACCAGGTACCCTCCCAATATTTTAAACCACAACCTTGTACTGTTTTCTAGAGAATCTAGCTCTAGAATTTTTTATGTGGAAATTAGCCAAATTTCTAGTTTGAATTAGAAAATACTCTATCAATGACATATATCTCTCTCACATTTTCCAATCCCTGGAAAATAATTAGGGATTATTGGAGATGTTGCCCATTTCAGGTTTGTAGGATTATGCCTGATTTACACATATATTAGGGCATGATATTGCTGCATGGAAGAAAACTCACATGGGTTTCCATATTATGTAGTTTCTTTGGAGAAACTGCTGTGACTCTGGGGACCTGGTTATGACTTGGTATGTAGGACACCTTACATGCTGGCATTTTGAAGATACAGTAGTTTACTACCTTTCATTGCATGGGTGAACTGGATTAAAACTGTCCAGGTCGCAGTTCTGGGCAGAACATAAAATTGGGTAGTTCTTGCTTGGCTCCAGTTTGATCCTCTTTCCTTTTGTTCATTTAGCATCCCTGAAATATTGTTCTACTTTTCTCCTAACAGCCATTTAGGTATTTGAATACCACTATTGAATTCTCCCTTCTTGAAGCTCAATATAACATTTTATTTTTTTCCTTACTTTTATACTTTCTGATTAGGATCCAAAGAACCAGGTGACTGTGAGTCCAAAACAGATTTATTTGAATAGTAAGGCTAGTCCCTTTATGATCCTGGATTTGTTCTTCACTTACAAATTCTAGTTTATTTGAAATCACACGGACAAAGTGCTACGTAAAGCATAACTGCTTCTTCAGCTGCTTACCTTATCAAGAGGAAACAACTACAGGCAATTAATTTTTGCACACCTGGCCAAACAGGGTCAGGCATAATTGGATGGAAGGCCACCAAGGAGTATCAGGCTATAGGTTAGGCTGCAAAGTTGAAAAATATCCCAGGCAATGGCAAGCAATTTCTGTGCTGTTACCAAGAAAACTTTGTGGTTGTGTATTCACCAGCAGTTGAGCACAACTCAAGGGTACCTTTATGTGTTCATAGAATTAATTCATTATGAGCCTGGATTTGCTAGGATCTTGACTTATAATTCTGTAGATGTTGTAGTCTTTTATTCATTTTTTTCAAGCTGATCTATGGGACAGAAGAAATTCTCATCTTGCTCCATCTTTGCTTTTCTTTCTAGGACCATGTGGTTATGATATTTAAAATCTATAATGCCTCCTGCCATGGCAGCTATCCTAGACATCTGGGCAGTAGATTCACACATAGCAGCTGAGAGCTCAATTTCTGTGGATTGCCTGCTTCCTACTGGAATTTACATCAGTCTAGATGTTCCTCGTGATGCCACTATTTGTCATATCAAACAGGTAAAATTGGGTTATTGCTTAATTCATTAATTTTTAATTGAAACATCTTTTCTGGGTATTTTTTCTTACCTAGTAACTAAAATTTATATTAATTCTTAATATGAGATATTAAGACATTGTTTTTAAGAGCAGATATTTATGATACTTTTTTTTCCCTGTGGGAGCATAATTGTTTTCCTGAAATGCATACCCAGCATTGATTATCTAGCTTATATTAGCCATAGAAGAGGAGCAATATAATAAATAATATTTTGAAAACAATGATCCCAGTGGACCCCTTAGAGAAGATTCAAGATACGTTGTTCTGAACCCTCTGGATCTTTAGGAGCATGCCTGCTCAGCCAACTCCATTGTCATACATCTCTGTTTAGTACTGAAGATGGCCAAGCACATTTATTCCATTATTATGGAAACAAATCTAATTATTGGTTAATAGAGATTATACATTTGGCCTGGAATTGAGTTTTGCTTTAGTCCAGCTGAATAGTTTGACAGACTTATCAAAGAGATCACAAAAGAACCAACTTGGGAAAAAGGTCTCCCTTAGAACTTTCTGCTTGAACATAAATAAAGTTTTAACAAATATCCTTTTTATTCCTGATAGGTTGTTCTAGAACAGTCCTTACGGCAGAAAGAACTAGTTTCCTTTTAAGCTCAACATAACAACACACTGAAATTTGATGCATTTGTTGTTCTTTGAAGGCTTGAGCTAGCTATATTTGATTTAAGGATGTTTGTTTATGGAGTATAGGCTTGCAAGAGTAGGAAAGAAACACCAATTAATGCTGAATATAAAATTAGCAAAGAACTTATTTTCCAGTGAATCAACTGAAGCATTCTATTACCACACTTTTGTTCTTTTTTGCAGCTATTATGGAAACAAGCACATAGCTACCCTCTGTTTCATCTTCTTCTGGAGATTGATTCATATATGTTCTCCTGTGTGAACCAAACAGCAGTACGTGAGGAACTGGAGGATGAAACCCGAAGGCTCTGTGATGTTAGACCATTCCTTCCTGTTCTTAAATTAATTACCAGAAGCTGTGATCCAGGAGAAAAGTTAGACTCAAAAATAGGTGTCCTCATAGGAAAAGGTAAATGTCTCTGTTCTTGTTCAGATACATTAACTTGAGGTGAATTGAAGCAAGACAGTGACATTTTTATTTCATATACCTATTTTTTATTCCAGCCCTTCAAAAAAGCAAAAGAAAAGGGAGATATGAAAATGTCAATCCCACTATTTCTGGTGAAGTTGTTATTATACCATGAGGTCACCATTCCTCATGAGTGTCTTGGAGATGAATTAAAAAAATAAAAGTGAACCCCCTAGCCACAAAAAAAGTTGCCCATCTTACATTACAGTATAAGATGAGGAAGACAAAACACAGGGGAAAAAAATGTTGCAAATTCTCCCTATCTGCAGTTGGACTCCTCCCAGTTTTTACTGCAGTTTGTGTTGCATAGACTCTAGAAACTTAAAAGGCAGATGAGATTATTCTCTACATCCCTTCTCTGTAGAGATCAATTTTTTCAGCAATCCTGGGCTTTAGATCCAGGTAGTGATAGTAGCAGATCCCTCTTTTTTTAATTAAAAAAAACAAGTTTGATGAGAATTAAGTTAATGTGTATCTTATTCTTCTGCTTTAATTCAGTATACTATATATTTTCTAACATTTCCTTAGTCATATTACGTTATTAAGTATAGTTTTTATAGAAGCCAGAAGCTTCTACAAAAGTTACTTATTGCTAGATATTTAGCAATCTATTTTTCAATAGTTAGATGCATTAGTCCTTTGCAACTGTATTCTGGAATTTAAAAAAATAGTAGAAAGAAACACAATGGGCAGTTATTAATCTTGGCACAAAAGCTACAAATTCTACTGAGATTTCAACAGCAGGTTGAACATTAACTTGTTTAAGTTAACAACAGTTAACAATACTGATACAAAAAGTTCTTTCTTGGACTTTTACAATTGGTTATTTGAAAAAGAATGACTGGGTATTTTTTTTATAGACAATTTCATTCTTCGTACTTTGTGCGGTAAAGAAATTGTGACTCCAAGAATTTAATCATATCTCTAAATGAACATTAAATTGTACAGACTTAGATAAATCTATAATTTGAAATAGTTTTGTCAGTATTTTCCAGAATGTTCAGCATAGGAATGTATAGATAAGTGTGTATGAAGTCCATTTCAGTTTTGCATGTATGCAGCCATGAATCTGTTCTGTCAGATTTTGAAATCATACTGTGTTTTTATTTGTTTGGGTTTTAAAAGATGCATTTTATTTTATTTATTGCTAAGAGCTGCAGAAACCTGGAAAATTTGAAGGACAGCCATGTTCCAACTTGCATAGTAGTTTGAAAAGTCTGAACTGGGTCAGTTCAATATTGTCCAACATCTGTAGCTAAGCTTCCCTCCATCCTGCTGCACTTTATATGTGTATACCCTCTCCTTGTTTAGTAACTACAATCCATTCCTTAAATTGGAAGTAAAATGGTTGCTAAGCAAGCATGTGACACAGAGGGGGGGAGAGAGAGAGAGAGAGAGAGAGAGAGAGAGAGAGAGACGCGGACGAACGTACGTCCGTCGGTTCGTCCGTTCCGTACTTAC